TGGGTTAAGCCCCTGCCTTCGGCTCAGTTCGTGATCTCAGGGTCCTGGGATTGAGCCCCACATCAGGCTCTCTGCTCAGCGGGGAGCCTGCTTCCCCCTCTCTCTCTGCCTGCTGCTCTGCCTACTTGTGATTTCTGTCAAATAAATAAATAAAATTTTTTTTAAAAGGCGAGTCCTGAAGGTAACACACTGTATGATTCCATTTATATAGCATTCTTGAAATAACAAAATTTCAGACATGGAGAACAGATGAGTTGCCAGGGATCAGGGACAGGATGCAGGTGGGAGAGTAGTGAGTGTGGCTGTAAAAGGGCAACAGTAGGGGCGCCTGGGTGGCTCAGCCTCTTAAGCATCCAATTCTTGGTCTCAGCTCAGGTTGTGATCTCAGGGTCATGAGATTGAGCTCCAAGTTGAGCTCCACACTCAGCACGGAGTCTGCATGAGATTCTCCCTCTTCCCCTCTCACTCATGCTCCCTCTCTCTCGCTCTCTCTCAAATAAATAAATAAATCTTTTAAAAAATAAAAATAAAATAAAAAGGCAACAGGGAAGACCTGCACAGTGATAGACCTGTGCTATACCTCGACAGTGCCAATGTCAATATCCTGGTTCTCACACTGTACTACAGTTTTGCAAGCGGTTACTACTGGAGGGAACTAAGTGAAGGGTACCTAGCATCTCTCTGCAGTCTTCTTACAACTGCATCAGTATTATGATATGATATTCATTATATTACATAATTATCTCAAAATACAGAAAGTTTAATCTTAAAATGATGTGGATGATGAGTTTGTAATAAAATGGGCATAATGATATTAAGTAAATAAAGCAGAATAGAAAATGATGGTTAAAGAAGGCAAAGAGGAAAGGAATAAATACACACCTTTTGACCATGTAGCTATAGAACTATATCCAAAACCAGGTTCTATAAAGCAACCAAAAATAGATAAAGTACTTACTAAGCTGACTAAACTATAAATAATGAAAACACAAAGACAGACAACATTAAACCCAAGAAAGAAGACATGACTATAGATGAGGACAGAGTTTTTAAAATTACAAAATAAGAGGCTACTACATGCTCCACTCAACTCATGGCAACAAATCTGAAAACTCAGAAGAAATGGGTAACTTCCCAATAAAAGATAAATGACCACAATTGACTCAAAGATCTGAATAAATTACCATAGAAGACACTGGAAGGGTGATTATGGGTATACCAAATGAAAAAGGCACTAGGACCAGATGAGCTTTGCAGTTGAGTTTTACCTGACCATTAAAAAAAATAATAATGATTTCTAAAATAACAACAACCACCCAAGAAAGGAAAGAAAAGTAATTTTTAAAAGTCGAAAAAAAAAATAACACATAACTTCCATGGGTAATTAAATTATTCTAGGCCAGAGAAGAATTACTCTGCAATTCCATTTTAATCCTTACAACTTATGAAAAGAATCCAAAAAAAATGACTCCCATCTCGCTTATGAATTCTGAGGCAAGGGTTCTAAAGAACGGATTGACAAACGAACTCCAGCAATGCATCATAATAATATACTATGACTAGCAGGACTTACGTCAGTATATAACAGTAATTTGAAATCAGGGAATTCTTCAACATAACTCACTATCAAATACTTAAACAGAAAAAAAAGCATACTCAAGAGACATGAAAAAGCGTTTGATAAAATGCAGGAACTGTTTTATTTGAAAACACCTCTAAGTAAATGTGGAAACTCTTTACATGTAATAGGCTAACAAACACCAACAGCAAATACGGAGACACACAGAGACATTCTCCATTTAAAATCACTTTAGAGACAGTGGCCCACGAACACCATTTTTATTTCACTCTGAGTTTCAAGCAAAAGCAAAAACCAAAGAAAATAACTGGTGTAACCATCGGAAAGACAGGATAAAATGAAAATAAATTTTACCAAAACTATTAAGAGAGTCTGGTAAGATGGTGAGATATGAAGACTACTGTTAAAATCAATAAGCTTTTTCTATTCGAGTAAGAAGCACTTCAGAATGGAAAGGTGAGCAATATTCAACTCATAATGGACAGAAAAGCTATTATTCTTTAGGAATAAATGTATCAAGAAAGGCATAAAACAAGATCTGAACAGATGGGGAAAAAACACAATTTCTTAGATTACATTATATTACATTATACCACAGCTACATAATCTTAAAACATCAGCTTTCACAAAACCAAAATATGCATTTAATGCAGTTCTAATTAGAATCCAAACAGGGCTGGTGGGGAGGGTTGAATAAAAGTTATCTCCAAATTTACATGTAAGAAAAAAATGCGGATAAATAGATAAGAAAAATATTTCTTTAAGCTAATATAATCAAATCAGTATGATCTGAGTACACAAATAGACAAACAGATGGAAATGAATAGAGAAACTATGAGTGGAGCCTCATATGTAAAAAGTTTAATAGGTGAGAAAAATGGTAGTTCAGTTCACGGGGGAAAGTAGGGATTATGTAATATATCACGGTAGCACAACCAGGTAGCCATCTTTAAGAAAATCATCTTTAAAACTGGGAACCCGGAAGCTATAAGAAAGTAATCATACTTGAATATAAAAAAAATGTGAAAAAACATATAGCAAAATATACTATCAGCCAAATCAGCACATACAGATTTGGGAACTATATCTATCATAATGCCGACAGACAAAGGGCCAATATCCAAAACATACAAAGAAGTCTTACAAATTAAGAAAACCTAAGCAACCCATAAGAAAGGGGTAGATGGTATGAACAGACAATTCAAAGAATAAATTTAATTGGATAAAAATTATGAGATGATAGTGAAATTCAATAGTAGCCAAGGAAATGCACCCATCAAGTTGTCAAAATTATAAAAGAATCATACCATCTTATGCTGGTATGGATGTAAAGAAAAGAATAATCTCATGTTTTACATACAAAAGGGAAAAAGTGAATTATTACAGCCTGTTTTTGTATATCAGAATGGAAATATCTATTAACATAAATATGTATATTTATATGTAAACATTTGTGTGTATGTATATATATCTACAAATTGAAAGCACCAGTATTTAAGGGCATATGCACAAAGATGTTGATTTCAGCATTGGTTATAGTAGCAGCAATACGGAAAGAATGAATACAAACATTCAAGAATAGAAGAGTAACTAGGGAACCCTGGCTGGCTCGGTCAGTGGAGCACATGACTCTTGATCTCAGGGTCATAGGTTTGAGCCTCACATTGGATGGAGAGATTACTTAAAAGTAAAATCTTAAAAAGGAATGAGAAGAATGGCTAAATAAGTTGTGCATCCATGAAATATTTCACAGCTTCGTAAAGGAATAAGATATACCAATAAACTTTAATAGATTACCGTGAGATATTGTTGAGTGAAAAAGCAAGATGTATTACAGTTAATATAAGATTCTATTTTTGTAAAACCATCAATGAACAACAACAGTAAAACATTCCAAAATCCCTCTGTGTGTGTGTGTGGGTGGGTGGGTGGGTGTGTGTGTGTGTGTGTACCAAATGAGTACAGAGTAAAATCTGGAAGAATACATACTAGTTTGGTAATCTGCAGGTCTGGAAAGGCAGAAGTAGGAGTCAAACAAAACAAGGACAAGAGGGAAAAAAAAAAGAGCCACTCTAAAAAAAAATCTAGCAGTCATGTTTATGTACTTTCATATGCATACACATATACAAATCGAATTAAATTTAGAAGATACAGTAAGAATCCTAAATATGATCTCTGCTTCTTAAAAAAAAGCAGTAACCAAAATTACGTCTTAGTGGTAGATTAAGGGTGATGTTTATTTTCTTTTTTATGTGTCTCTGTATTTCCTATAATGAGAATTGTTACTTTAATAATAATGAAATAAAACCAATAAATGTTACTTTAAAACATTACACTGAAAAATAGAGCTCATTTTGGGAAATGAAGGGAGGGAAACAGGGTTAAATAGCCTTCCACTTAGGAGCTTTTCAAGTACAAGATATGTGAGATCAGGATCCATTTGCCCTCATCCAGTAGAAAGTTACTCACCTAAGGCAAGAGACTAAGTGGCTATTCCAAGGAGCTGTTCGAAGCAGCAAATGGGGTATATTTCCCCCTACCTAACACTTTAATGACTTAAGTAAATCAGAAAGCCATTTACACCACTCTTCCATTACCCAAGGATCTGCTGGGCCCCTTATTTCCTGTCTCCTCCTTCTGGCCTGCAGCCATTTCATGGCTCAGGAACAGCTCCAAAATGGGGGCCAGGGAAGGGGGAAAGAGATGAAATTAATTTGGTCGATTTAGCTTCTCATTAGCAACTCCAATAAAAGGCTTGATAAATGAGATGGTCACAACTCATGGTTAAAAGGAGGGTTCTGGGTCTCTTTTGAGAATTTCCTTGAAGCAAATTTGCCTTCAGATAACATGATTTGCCTGCAGTACACTTTAATGGATTTGATGCTTGCTATTTTTAAGAAAATCAGGACTGGTAAAGGTGATATTTTCTTCCCCTTACTTTAATTTGCACTTTAAGGGAAAAAAAAAAAACCCACAGAAACAGAAGAACAAAGGTCTTCAAAGTATAGAAGTACAGAAACAGAAACAAAGTACAGAAACAAAAGAACAAAGGTCTTCAGGGGAGCAGCTGGACCACAAAGCAATGATTCTTAAGAGGAGGGAAGCTGTGTGGCCCCCAGCATGCTCTCAAGAGAAACTGCAGGAAGCCAGCAACCTTCCAAGGGAGCAGGACTTGGCCAGAAACCACCACCACCAACACTAGCTAAAGAGGACTTTTCAGGGCTTGACCAAAGCCCAGTCCCTGCATGTCACAGCCCAGTGTTTCACTGGGCCGCATAGACATTTGTTCTTTGGGAAGCCCAGAGACAAAGCGGGGCAGGCCCAAGATGTTCACATCAACGTGCTCATCACCCTTTGTTATCAAAAAGACCGAACATTTGGAATAGCAATGGCAAAAGAGCAAAAACCGATTTTCCCTTACTTGAAGACGACGATAGCTCCAGGACACGGAGGGCAGGCCAGGAGAAAGATCTGAAATTGAAAAAGAGTTAAGTATGGTTATCAAGAGCAGTACTGGACACAGACAATGTGACTTCAATAACAATGGTAAAATGATCTTAGTAACAATAAATAACCAGACTCTAACACAAAGAATGCAATATAAAATAAAAACTTGAAAAGGCAAGCATGTGGTCTTCCAAATGTGTTTCTGTTTGCACAGGCATCTAGGTGCGTGGACGTGTGCATGTGTGCACGTGCATGTGTGTGCGTGTGTGTGTGTGTGAGACAGAGCTACAGTGGGGGAGAGGGAGAGAGAGAGTGAGGGAGTGTTTGGGGGCAAGATGGGAAAAGCCTTTCTTAGGGTTTTTTTTTTTTTGGTGGGGGGGTCTCCAGAACACTTCCTTTTAATCTCTAGAACAAGACTCAATTTTTCAACTCCTCAATGTCAATATGATATAGTAGCCAGTCTGAGAAGCTTTTAACCCAAGACAAACAAAAATATATTCCATGAATGGGACAAAGCATATAAATGCCAGCTGCTTTGCCTCCCACAGGGGAAGGTGGGATAATCAATATCCAGCACTGCCAGATTTAGCAAATAAAAACACAGGAGGCCCTGTTAAATTTGAATTTCAGATAAACAATGAATAATGTTTTTGTGTAACTTTGTTCCATGCAATATTTAGGATATACTTATATAAAAACATTATTCATTGTTTATCTGAAATTCAAATTTAAGTGGGCCTCCAGTGTTCTATCTGGCAACCCTACCAATATTGCCACCCCCAGGCTCCAGACCTCCCTTTGATTTTGAAGGGGAGCAGAATTTGCCACCCTGAAATATGTCTCTTTGGCATAAGGATTATTTTAGACTGGTTATTTTTTAAGAAACAGCAGACATAGGAAAAACACTGAAAAGTAATTAGAAGTTACCCTTTTGTAGGAGATATTTACATTTATAAGGAAAATCTCCATTTGTAAGAATTGTTCCCCCTCTGTACCAGGAAAAGAAGGATGACTTAAACTCCAGACACTCTTATCAATGGAGAAGACACTGACCCCAAGCTGCATAATGACCTTACCCTTGATTACCATGCTCTTCCTGGTCCCCTCCCATAACTGGCCTTCTGCCCTACATTACCCCCATCACCCAATGTCTTCCCTTTGTCTGTAAGCTAGAGATAGTATTTAAGATGGTGGCTTGGGCCATTTCAGGAAGTTACTCGATTTTCCTGGGTCTCTCCCATGTCTGCAGGAGGTACACATGGTGTTAAACCTCCATTTGTCTTTCTCCTGTCAATTGGTCTTTTATTACATTGGCCAGGTGGGTTGGAGGGCTAGGGGGAGGAGGTCTCAGTGAAGAACCTAGAAGGGTAGAGGGAAAATTACTTTTCCTCCCCCACATTTGATTGGCTTATTTCTAACCATGACCAGGTAGTTCTACTCTTCTATTCTCCCCGGGGGCAAACCAAACAAGAACCTCGTCCTTCTAAGAGACAAATCGGTTCCATGCTACTTGGTTTGACCTAGGCCTGGGTTATAGAACAACTGCATCTGTATGACCTTCATCAGAGCACTGGTTCTCAAGTGAGACAATGAAACCTCTGCAGAGCAACTGGTTGAACATGCAGATTCCTGGGCTCCCCCATTAGGAATGCTGACTCCAAAAGTCTGGGACTCCAGGAATCTGCATGTTTAACAAATGCCCCAGGAGACTTGACCATTCCTGGCAGCCAGATATGATGACTGTTTGACCTTGGCCTGGACTACTACAGGAGTCAAAGACATTCAACAGGACTAAGGATTAATGAAAGAATGAAGCTCATGTTTGTGGAGTTCCTTCCTATACAGTGATTTAATGGTGTCGTTTACAAAGTCACTGATACATGTCCCTCTCTAGTGAGCATTTATTAAAATAGATTATCTGCGGGGCACCTGGATGTCTCAGTTGTTGGGCATCTGTCTTCAGCTCAGGTCGTGGTCCCAGGGTCCAGGGATCAAGCCCTGCATTAGGCTCCCTGCTCAGCGGGAAGCCTGCTTCTCCCTTTCCCACTCCCCCTGATTATATTTCCTCTCTTGCTGTCTCCCTGACAAATAAATAAAATCTTTTTAAAAACTTAAAAAATAAGCTATCTGCATTATAAACTTGTTTGGCTCTGTCATGTGTATATTCTTTAGCATTTGTCTCTTTGGTTTCCTCGAAATCTACATTTAGAAATAAAGGGTACCATAAGGAAAATCACTACATAGAAAGACACCTGCTTGAATTCCTACCAAGAGGAAAAGAAAGAAGAATGGAAAAGAGAACGGGTCTTGAAAGGAACATGGCCAGGAGTCCATCACCTGAAAAATACCTGATCAGAGAACCCAGAAAAGGAAATATCCACTGAGAACGAGCCTTTCCCCCTGTGGATCAATTTGATTAATAGTGCAAAACCAATGACAGTTACAGGCCCATAATCCTTCACTGGTAACACCAAATCCAAAAAGCTCTAAAAACCAAAAAAATGGGTTTTTTCAAAGCTAATTTGATAGCAAGTATGACTTGAACTGAGCTGAAACTATTCACGCACTCCTTTATTCCACTTGTGCTGAATATTCATATAACTTCCATAAAAATAGTATCTTTTGGGAGTACATGGGTGGTCAGTCTGTTGATCATCCAACTCTTGATTTTGGCTCAGGTCATGATATCAGGGGTCCTGAGATCAAGCCCCGCATTAGGTTCCTTGCTCAGCAGAGAGTCTGCTGGAGATTCTCTCTTTCCCTCTCCCTTTGCTGTTCCCCTGCTCATGCTCTCTTTCTCAATCGCGCTCTCTCTCTCTCTAAAATAAATAAATAAATAGATCTTTAAAATAACAATAATAGTAATAATAATAATAAGCTTTTGATTATGGGGTGTTACCCCAGATCCTACTGGGAAGATATATAAAATACTACATATTCACTGTATTGCCTTTCTGATTTATTTTAAGTAAGCTCTACACCCAACATGGGGCTTGAATTTATAACCACGAGATCAAGAGTCAAGTGCTCAACCAAATAAGCCACCCAGGTTCCCCTGTATTACCTTGAAATCGAAAAATTTCTGACTTCTGAAATACATCTGACCTGAATGGTTTGGGATAAGGACTCTCAATTTGGATTCTCAATCATCTGAACATTAATTTATCCCCACTCCCCATGCTACTCTTCAGGAGCAATCCAAGAAAGAAAGAAACAAAGCTGGTATTCTCTACCCCTGACACAGCAGTAAAGTTACTCACCTGAAGCAAGGGACCAAGTTGGAGATTGCACTCAGTTACCCAGCATCAGGCCCATCAAAGGCTACACTCACAAGGTACAGAATACAGAGAATAGACAGGGGCCCCCAACCACCTTGGAAAGGTCCTCAATACTTTTGGAGTCACCTAAGAGCCATGACAGCAGCCTTCCTCAGATTCTGGAATAGCCAAGATACTTCATGCTAACATGCTAAACAGAGAAGCAAAAATACAACACTGGGCCCCACAGTTAACTCTAACTTTTCCCACAGCCAAGGAGAGATGACCAGATTCCTGGGACAGATTCCCCTACGCCTGCTCCATTTGGCTGCCTCGGACTCATGATAGCCCTATGGCAAAAGCCCAGAAACCTACTAAAGGGAGCAAAGCCTCCAGCACCAACCCAAGGATGGGTCTAAGCTCTTTTGAGGCAGCTAATCAATCTAGTTTTGACCCTAAATGAGTTCTCCAACAGTTTCACATGTCCAAGCCACTCCCATCAACACTTTGGCCTTTCTCATCTGGTGCGTCTATACCCATCACCAAGATAGAGAGTATCTTCTTTGAGCAACCTTTAAATCAGGTACATGTAGACATGCCTCATCAGCAGATCTGAAAAAGGACCCCAAATCCATCCTATTCCATTTCCAGTAAACTCAAGGCCTCCCTCAGCAACTTCAAAGATTTATGACATTGAACCTCTCTGCCCTAGCATTCTGGAGCCACATCCATAATCACCATTAACCAAAGGAGCCATGTGAAAATAACATTTTAATTCAGAGGCCCAGTGGGCCCCCAGCCTTGGACTGAACATCCCTGCTTTCTTCCTTGCTGGGCTGCCATTTGCCTCCAAATTTTAGTAGCATGTGTTAGACCAGCAGATGGAAAGTTAATGGATCCCTTCAGTTGCAAATAGGGTGGGAAGAAAGGAGACTCAGAAGCCTAAACAAGGACAGTAGGAAGATGGGAATGTGTCTGAGCATATCCCATCACCAAGTTGGTGCTTCTGTACTCATGCCGAAATCTACCCCGTTCAGCACCTGAAGAAAAGGACAAGGACAGATGGTAACAGACAGAGGGATGTGCTACAGAACACTTCTACTCTCCCGTTGTTTGGGAGATGAGCAGGGCCTTGTTATTAAATTCCACTTTGCAGATAAAGGAACCTAAGGGAAAACGTTCCAACAAGTACCCAGATCCCTAAACTCCCAGTTCAACATCTTCTACCTCACACCTGACACGGTCCACACCTTATGGTGTTCTCTTCTTTAGACTCTAGCCCTGCCCCTTGACCCAATGGCACGTGGAGAGTCACCCCAATGCCCCCACACCTGTACCACAACACAGTTCACAATATGTAGTCGCTATAAGGTGAGCCCTCTCCAAACACAACCAAACTGCACAGCAAATAAAGTTTATATAGATGGGCTGCAGAGTCCAGCATTCCCTAAAGACGTGCTCATCTTAGCCCCAAGCCACCTCATTCAGAACCAGGTCTGCTGGGCTCTGATACTCTTTGGATCCTTACAAAATGGAGGTCTTTTTCTGGAAAAAAGGTACAGGTTCCATTCAAAACCATACCCTCTCAGATTGCCCAGGAACGGTCCCTGTACTACAAGGTTCTCCTTCCCACTGCTAAAAGAAAGCCACAGACAGGCCCAAGGTGGAGTCACTCACCTCCAAGATAACAAACCAAGACTTAACTGCAGTTCCAACTCCCCCCAGAAGAATTTTAAACCAATCAATCTGGAATTTTCTGGCCAGCAC